TGCGTTTTTGTGACTTGATTCCATACTTGCACTACACTATTGAAAAACAAACTTTACTTGTTTGAAAAATACACTTAGTCTGACATATTGGTGTCACAGGAACTTTTGTTGTTGAGCATATGATGTTGTTCAATGTTTTGAGATCACTCAAGAAATTAAAGCCAATCCCTCATGACCTGTTCTTAAAAGATATTTGATACTACATTTGCACAAGCTAATTTCATGGCTCTCAATTCTGGTTAGACAATTTTGGACGTTTGGAATCTATATAGATAACGGCATGTAAGAGACTTTTGGGGTAAAGAAATCTGCTCCAAATTATGTTGCCCTGGACGAATGTGGTCTCTGCCCCCTTTTATAAACGTATAGTTATAAGTTTTAAGTTAATGGCAATACCAGATACCCTAGCAAATGACATAATATGTTAATTCAAGGTGCAAGCAATGGTAATATTAACTTTAATTTTCTTGATTTCGGAAGCCCAGAATATTACACAAAAATATTAGTTTGTTTCAGAATGTGTTATAAGACTGAAATGTGCTTTTGAAGAGGACTGGCACATCTCATTTCTAAAAAAAACACCATATTTTGTTTCTCTTGTAAACCACTTCTCAAATTACAATTGCAAAATTTAGAATAGAATGTTATACTATTCCAAGAAATGAAACGGTTTGCCAGTTGCGTAATGCTAATGATGATGAGGGTGAGTAGTGTTATATGTCGATTTGTTCTAACTACAAGATTTTATGAGGAAGTTACTTATGAAACAAATTTGTTATTCATCGAACACTGTTGAAATTGAATTGATCAATGTCTTCTTCTAATATAAAGGTAATTAGACAACTTGCTATGTATCGTGCCATTAATCTTAGGACATAGTGCTATGTTCTGTATTTGTTATTTTACGAATATTTATTACAAGGTGAGGATCCTCCGTTTTGTATCCCTTGTGATGAAAGAATCACGGTCAAGCATGTCCTGCTTGACTGTATTGATTTTTCCATCACAAGGGATAAATATTTCAAAGTGTTATCTGTAAAGGATCTTTTTAATCAAGTACATGCTCATTTAATCCTCGGTTTTTTAAAAGAAATAGAATTAATTAATAAATTTTGATGTACAAAGATATATATTTTATAAATTGGTAGAATATGATAATTAACAGAGATTGTTAGTGGCTATATCCTCGAAGGGGGTTGAAGTAGCGTAAAATTATTGTCCCCCTGAGAGGATATGTAAGCCCACATAAATCAAAGTAATTTTATATCTGCCAGTGTTTTAATCGAAGCATATTTGTTGGTTTTAAATCTACGGCTAAACCCTGTCAACGGTCGCCAGTGACTAAAGGGATAGTGTAAAAATCCTGCTGGGGTCCATGCAGGTAGCAAAGGTACTGTAAGTCCCCATGGTCCTCAGTATGGTGTCCTCACTTTAGTTGCTGATGATATATAGCCCAATTTTATCTATTGTAATGTTATGAATTGTCATATTTTATGGTTCTGTACTAGTTTTAAACATATATCTGTGATAATCTAGTTGTTTTACTGTCCTTCGTCGACAGATTTTTATACAGTTTACATATATGTTATTAAAGTCACATTTTCTCTCGTTACGATATGGCTGCAATATTGCCGATGTGACGTTAAATATTAACTCACTCACTCACTCACTCACTATTTTATGTAACGAGTGAATAATTGTGGTATCTTTCGCTCGTCAGATACTACAACTATTCACTCGTTTCATAAAATTGGTATTACACGGGAGCCCGTGAAGAGATCACCCGTTTAATAAACATACAGCTGTATTACACATTGTGTAATACCAAAACGCGTGCTTATGTACTCTCGGAACACGTTACATGAACAAATATTGAAAGCTCTCAACATCCCTTGGCTTATTCAACGACATTGCGTATGGAGTTCATAGATCACTGAGAGGAGCTTATGCACACTCGATGACCCCAGCAACCTTGTTGCTAGGCTGACGTCACATGGCATTGTTTCGCCGATGGATCTTGCAACAAAATTCCACCATTTACGTCATCGGGTATTGTGACGTGATTGTAAACTTTGAGGTGCAAGGCCCGTTCCACAAGGCGATCGCAACGACAGTCGTTGGTCTGTTAAAGTATGTGAGTTGCGATAGTCTTATCCCTACGATAATTTTGTGAATTCTAAAGGTGGACCGTTGTATGGTATCAAATTCATACGTTTCAACTTTTGGCGTGTTTGAAGTATTATTCTGTTAAAATCAATTGGACTATGCCATAGATCGTGTAGGTGTCAGCCTTTTCATACTCAACAGTATAATTTAAAAAAACGTTATAAATGGCAAGTACTAAATAAAATACTAAAGTTTATTTTATGAAACTCGTGAATAGTTGTGGTATCTGACGAGCGAAAGATACCACATTTATTCACTCGTTTCATGAAATTGGTATTACTCGGGAGCTCGTTTAGTATTCTATATTTTCACCAGTCTCTAAGTAAAATGTGGATCAGATTTATAATATATATAAATATATATTGAAATTAGATCAAACCATAACGTATACACCACGAGGACTTACAACGAACTTGGTACAATATTAACCTAGAAATGTACAAATAAACTAAAAGTAACTAGGAAAATTTACACTTATGACGACAACAGTTCCAGGAGTACAGGTAGTAACGTAACTGACCATAAATCAAGAGGTTGCAGGTACGAATCCCACCAAGGTATTAAAATATTTTTGTTCATCAATGGGTTGTTGCTGTATGCCTAATAGTATTTCTCCCGTACAGAAAGCTCAAAATGAAAGTATATCTGATTACAACTTTACCTTGTTTAGTTAGTGACGATAGACCACCCAGTAATGAACTACTGATTAGTAAAGTCTAACCCTCTTTGCTGCATTTTTTATTTTCTATTTTCTTATCAAGTTAACTAGAGCCAATGAGCTGTCGTTGGCAAGCTATTGTTTTCTAAACAGGAAGTGACATATATCACACCGGAAGTGTTGTGGTCTTCCTTGCTATGATGTCTTGACATATGACTTTATGGCTTCTGTCTTGCTGTAGTAGAGTGTAAAACCGGAAGTGTCGTCACCAGACAGGAAGTGCATGTAACTTTCTTATCAAGCAGGAGCAGTGACAGGAAGCAACATGTCTGACTTCATATGTTGAACATTTGAATATTAAATTGAATTTCAATGAAATGACTCAATATACCCAACATTTTTTTTAGGAAAGGGTATGTATCTTCTTACTTATATGCTATTGCAGTTGTGTGAAAGGAAGTATCTCAAATCAAATACATACCCAAATTCAATTAAATCTACCTACAGACTAAAGACAGCCAATTACAACAATTAAATGTCCAGCATCCACACTCAAACTTGATCGTAAAACGCGATCATTAAACAATTAGAATATTATTATTAATCTGTAATAATAATAATAATAATAATAATAATAATAATAATAATAATAATTACAATTATAATACATACATACATACATACATACATACATACATACATACATACATACATACATACATACATACATACATACATACATACATACATACATACATACATACATACATACATTTGCATAGCGCAGCATTCACATAAGTGCTCTGTATAAGTAATGTTTAAACGGCGTTAAACCCGACTCGTTCACATAACACCAGACCAGTTTTTTAACCACGGTAGCCAAGCTTTGCATCAGTGGGTGTTGCACACTGAAGCACTGGGTATAATATATTTGACAATGTCTTGGCTGTTCAATTCATGTTTGGGTGGAGGAGGAAAATGCGCCGTGAATCTATTTTAGTCTGAGTTCGTGCGAAAATATTTGCACATGCAAAATCCAGGTGAGCTAAAGAGCCCTTTGACTGTGCCCTACTTGTGATAAGCGTCCCTGTGCCCCTATGCTTGATCACAGGTTTGTGTGTCCCAGACTAGATTATTGCTGTCACACAATCGCTTCAAAAGTGGATGTTATACTGTTAATCTTGAAATCACTGACTGGAGTGGTCAAAGATGCCTAGTTTGACACGAGTGGGTAGAACTCTTGACGCCAGCAGTGATAACTCACCGGATGCCTATTGTGTAATTCCTATTCTTTAAATGACAGTGTTATGTACTTGTTACAACTGCTGCTCAATAAACCGTGTTTATGTATATATTCAAGTTGATATTTCCGCCGTCCAATGTGTGCAGATTGTTGATAGTCGTTTTGGGGACATAAATGCATATTGTTCGCATTTAATTCGCCCTCGCCTTAATTTCAACATTTACAGTATATGGCCAAGCCTTTTTTTATTTCGTTTTTCGGTATATATCTTCTTGTGGCAAATGTTATTTGTGTGACTGCATGCCCTTCACAACTGATGGAACATACACTGTGAAGGAGACAGGTCCTGTAACAGAGTGAGTGAGTATGGTTTTACGCCGCTTTTAGCAATATTCCAGCAATATCACGGCGGGGGACACCGGAAATTGGCTTCACACATTGTACCCATGTCGGGAATCGAACCCGGGTCGTTGGCGTGACGAGCGAACGCTTTAACCACTAGGCTACCCGACCGCCCCTCCTGTAACAGAAGCTGAGTCATGTGGGAAAAAGGCTATCTACCCATTCGTGACCAACTCGTGTTATTCCGGGACAAGCCGAATAGCGACTCGTGCCCCTCTCGTGGCCATTTTTGCGACCGGGTTCCGTCTTAGCGCAGACGGGCATACCTAAAACAATTGTCAACTCGTTGCGTAATGGTTCACATTTATTTCCCCATATATTATATATATTTCAGATGCAATTTAAAGCACATCGAGACATGCGGAATTATACAGTATGATTGAACACATTTAACTGTGTCTTGGGTATATTTTTAGATGCAAGACATATGTAAAATCAAAAAATATTTCTGAGGGATTCTTTGACGAAGAACTTGAAATCATACGCGCATTCTGATTGGTTTGTCGTATTTTCGCACATAACATTCATCGATAGGGGGACGAGTCTTCTTGCGGGCCACGGAAAGGGGCGAGTGGAGACGAATGGCTATCTACCCTGTACTGTTGCTTTGGCTATGTGGGTCATGTGGTGACAGGAGTATATGACGCGCACACAAGGTATCACTCCTGTTGTTTATTCATTTTTTATTCAAACTCTCTCGTGATCATGACGCATTAAAACTCCTTTTCGGGCTGCGCAAACTTCTCAGGTGATTTTGTTCAGACATTAGTCTAGTGCTGGCTGTTCTTGGGTGTGTAACTCCCAATGTCTGTGTATTCACAGGCCACATCGTGGGAAGATAAGGGCGAACCACGTAAAGGATGAGAAAAAGCCACATAAACAGTGGGACAAGTGTGTGGAAATTGTATCTGTGGTTGACAAGGAGGGGTATCTGCTCATCCAGGCGTGATGTATCACGAGAAAATAACAGTCCAAGGATTGTGTTCCATCTCACTTAATCTAGTCTTTATTGTTCCCTGCACAAAAAACATGGTGTCCTTGACCTTCTACCTTCCGGGTTTAAGGTACCCGTCATCTTGGTTGGGTAATTGCTGTGTTTGTGTGTAAGACGGGTGGCTTTGTATCATACTGGGTATGTGGTGCACTGCATAAAACATTCAGTATAACCATGACATTCCGGGAATAGGTCCACATTACACAGTAAAAAGATCTAGAATATACCTTATTCTGAACTAAATCTCATGCCCATGCACCCTCCCTATAAACTCACACTCATACCAGCCCACACTCACCTATACCAGCCCACTCTCTCCGATACTAGCCCATTCTCTCCTACACTACACCACTCTCTCCTACACTAACCAAATCTCTCCTACACTAGCCCACACTCACCTACACTAACCCAATCTCTCCGTCATTAACCCGCTCTCCGTCACTAGCGCACTCTCTCCTACACCAACCCAATCTCTCCTACAGTAACCCATTCTCTCCTACACTAGCCCACTATCTCCTACACTAACCCACTCTCTCCTACACTAGCCCACTCTCTCCTACACTAACCCATTCTCTCCTACACTAGCCCACTCTCTCCTACACTAGCCCACTCTCTCCTACACTAACCCACTCTCTCCTACACCAACCCAATCTCTCCTACAGTAACCCACTCTCTCCTACACTAGCCCACTCTCTCCTACACTAACCCACTCTCTCCTACCCTAGCCCACTCTCTCCTACACTAGCCCACTCTCTCCTACACTAACCCACTCATTCCAACACTAACCCAATCTCTCCTACTGTAACCCACTCTCTCCTACACTAGCCCACTCTCTCCTACACTAGCCACTCTCTCCTACACTAGCCCACTATCTCCTACACTAACCCACTCTCTCCTACACTAGCCCACTCTCTCCTACACTAGCCACTCTCTCCTACACTAGCCCACTCTCTCCTACACTAACCCACTCTCTCCGTCTTTAACCCTCTCTCCGACACTAACCCGGTCTCTCCTACACTAGCCACTCTCTCCTACACTAGCCCACTCTCTCCTACACTAACCCACTCTCTCCTACACTAGCCCACTCTCTCCTACACTAGCCACTCTCTCCTACACTAGCCCACTATCTCCTACACTAACCCACTCTCTCCTACACTAGCCCACTCTCTCCTACACTAGCCACTCTCTCCTACACTAGCCACTCTCTCCTACACTAGCCCACTCTCTCCTACACTAGCCCACTCTCTCCTACACTAACCCACACTCTCCTACACTAACCCACTCTCTCCTACACTAGCCCACTCTCTCCTACACTAGCCACTCTCTCCTACACTAACCCACTCTCTCCTACACTAGCCCACTCTCTCCTACACTAGCCCACTCTCTCCTACACTAGCCACTCTCTCCTACACTAGCCACTCTCTCCTACACTAGCCACTCTCTCCTACACTAGCCCGCTCTCTCCTACACTAGCCACTCTCTCCTACACTAGCCACTCTCTCCTACACTAACCCACTCTCTCCTACACTAGCCCACTCTCTCCTACACTAGCCACTCTCTCCTACACTAGCCCACTATCTCCTACACTAACCCATTCTCTCCTACACTAGCCCACTCTCTCCTACACTAGCCACTCTCTCCTACACTAGCCCACTATCTCCTACACTAATCCACTCTCTCCTACACTAGCCCACTCTCTCCTACACTAGCCACTCTCTCCTACACTAGCCACTCTCTCCTACACTAGCCACTCTCTCCTACACTAGCCCACTCTCTCCTACACTAACCCACTCTCTCCGTCTTTAACCCTCTCTCCGACACTAACCCGCTCTCTCCTACACTAGCCCTCTCTCCCCACTCATTCCTACACTATCCCTCTCTCTCTTACACCAGGAAACTCTCTCCTACACTACCCACTCTCTCCTTCTTTAACCTGCTCTCTCCGTCACTATTCCACTCTCTCCAACACTACCCACTCTCTCCGTCTTTCAGCCCCTCTCTCCGTCACTATCCCACTCTCTCCGTCACTAACCTACTCTCGCCGTCACTATCCCACTCTCTCCTACACTAGCCGACACTCTCCTACACTACCCACTCTCTCCTACACTACCCGATCTCTCCGTCTTTAACCCATTCTATCTTACACTAGCCCTCTCTCTCCTACACTTGCCCACTCTCTCCTACACTTGCCCACTCTCTCCTACACTAACCAACTATCTCCGTTAACCTACTGTCTCCGTCACTAACCTACTCTCGCCGTCACTATCCCACTCTCTCCTACACTAGCCCACACTCTCCTACACTACCCACTCTCTCCGTCTTTAACCCGCTCTCTTCTACACTAACCCACTCTCCCCGACTCTAGCCCACTCTCTCCGTCACTAACCCACTCTCCGTCTTTAACCCACTCTCTCCGTCATTAACCCACTCTCTCCGTCTTTAACCCGCTCTCTCCGTTACTAACCCGCTCTCTCCGTCACTAACCTACTGTCTCCGTCATTAACCCACTCTCTCCGTCTTTAACCCGCTCTCTCCGTCATTAACCCGCTCTCTCCGTCACTAGCGCACTCTCTCCTACACCAACCCAATCTCTCCTACAGTAACCCACTCTCTCCTACACTAGCCCACTATCTCCTACACTAACCCACTCTCTCCTACACTAGCCCACTCTCTCCTACACTAGCCCACTCTCTCCTACACTAACCCACTCTTTCCAACACTAACCCAATCTCTCCTACTGTAACCCACTCTCTCCTACACTAGCCCACTCTCTCCTACACTAGCCACTCTCTCCTACACTAGCCCACTCTCTCCTACACTAACCCACTCTCTCCTACACTAGCCCACTCTCTCCTACACTAGCCACTCTCTCCTACACTAGCCCACTCTCTCCTACACTAGCCACTCTCTCCTACACTAACCCACTCTCTCCTACACTAACCCACTCTCTCCGTCTTTAACCCTCTCTCCGACACTAACCCGCTCTCTCCTACACTAGCCCTCTCTCCCCACTCATTCCTACACTATCCCCCTCTCTCTTACACTAGGAAACTCTCTCCTACACTACCCACTCTCTCCGTCTTTAACCTGCTCTCTCCGTCACTATTCCACTGTCTCCTACACTACCCACTCTCTCCGTCTTTCAGCCCCTCTCTCCGTCACTAACCTACTCTCTCCGTCACTAACCTACTCTCGCCGTCACTATCCCACTCTCTCCTACACTAGGCGACACTCTCCTACACTACCCACTCTCTCCTACACTACCCGATCTCTCCGTCTTTAACCCATTCTATCTTACACTAGCCCTCTCTCTCCTACACTTGCCCACTCTCTCCTACACTTGCCCACTCTCTCCTACACTAACCAACTATCTCCGTTAACCTACTGTCTCCGTCATTAACCCACTCTCTCCGTCTTTAACCCGCTCTCTCCGTCTTTAACCCACTCTCTCTTACACTAACCAACTGCCTCCGTCACTAACCTACTCTCGCCGTCACTATCCCACTCTCTCCTACATTAGCCCACACTCTCCTACACTACCCACTCTCCCCGTCTTTAACCCACTCTCTCTTACACTAACCAACTGTCTCCGTCACTAACCTACTCTCGCCGTCACTATCCCACTCTCTCCTACACTAGCCCACACTCTCCTACACTACCCACTCTCTCCGTCTTTAACCCGCTCTCTTCTACACTAACCCACTCTCCCCGACTCTAGCCCACTCTCTCCGTCACTAACCCACTCTCCGTCTTTAACCCGCTCTCTCCGTCATTAACCCACTCTCTCCGTCTTTAACCCGCTCTCTCCGTTACTAACCAACTCTCTCCGTCACTAACCCACTCTCTCCTACACTAGCCCACTCTAAACTACACTACCCACTCTCTCCGTCTTTAACCAGCTCTCTTCTACACGAACCCACTCTCTCCTAAACTAGCCCACTCTCTCCTACACTAGCCCACTCTCTCCTACACTAACCCACTCTCCCCTACACTACCCACTCTCTCCGTCTTTAACCCGCTCTCTTCTACACTAACCCACTCTCCCCGACTCTAGCCCACTCTCTCCGTCACTAACCCACTCTCCGTCTTTAACCCGCTCTCTCCGTCATTAACCCACTCTCTCCGTCTTTAACCCGCTCTCTCCGTTACTAACCCGCTCTCTCCGTCACTAACCTACTGTCTCCGTCATTAACCCACTCTCTCCGTCTTTAACCCGCTCTCTCTGTCACTAACCCGCTCTCTCCGTCACTATCCTACTCTCGCCGTCACTATCCCACTCTCTCCTACACTAGCCCACACTCTCCTACACTACCCCACTCTCTCCGTCTTTAACCCACTCTCCCTTACACTAACCAACTGTCTCCGTCACTAACCAACTCTCTCCGTCACTAACCCACTCTCTCCTACACTAGCCCACTCTAAACTACACTACCCACTCTCTCCCTCTTTAACCAGCTCTCTTCTACACGAACCAACTCTCTCCTAAACTAGCCCACTCTCTCCTACACTAGCCCACTCTCTCCTACACTAACCCACTCTCCCCTACACTACCCACTCTCTCCGTCTTTAACCCGCTCTCTTCTACACTAACCCACTCTCCCCGACTCTAGCCCACTCTCTCCTACACTACCCACTCTCTTCGTCTTTAATCCACTCTCACCT